CGTACGTACGTCGTACGTACGTACGTACGTACGTACGTACGTACGTACTACGTACGTACGTACGTACGTACTCGTACTCGTACTCTCTCTCTCTCTCTCTCTCTCTCTCTCTCTCTCTCTCTCTCTCTCTCTCTCTCTCTCTCTCTCTCTCTCTCTCTCTCTCTCTCTCTCTCTCTCTCTCTCGTTCTCTTGTCTCTCACACACATGCATGCACCAGTGCACATATAGAGGTATCCATGCGGAATCCCCTTCTTTGATTTGTGCCTAGCTGCTCTCTCTTTCTGTCACACAGACATGCACACACGTGGTGGTTGATTTTATGTTTGCTCTTTAATTTTGTTTTGTATCGTTGGACATGGATTTACTAGTTCTTCTGGCACACCCACAAGTAATTTTATATATCATCATAAATTGAAAATACTTGCAGGTTGCTGAAGAGGGGATCCCGCTACCCCCAGATAGAACACTCTGCCCTCTGTGCACATCAAAACGTACAAACCCAGCTGTGGTTGCAGCCTCTGGGTTTGTTTTCTGTTATTCCTGCATTTTCAAATATGTTTCAAGGGTAAGAGACAATGAGTGCTCCCTTCCAAATCTAAACTGCTGTATTCTTGGTTTAAATAATAAATAGCAGAAGTGGTTTTCTTGAGAGAGTAGTTTTATTCACTTCAACGTATTTGCAATCTGATATGGTGCAGTATAAACGTTGCCCGGTTACTCTGATGCCTGTAAATGTCGATCAGATAAGGCGGCTTTTTCATGATGTTTAGAAACTTCGAGGTCAAGATCCATGAAAGATTATAAATTATGGAGCATATGAGAGGTCCTGGTAAAGACAAAGACGGCAAAGGAGACTTGCAGTCCATTGGCTTGACTTGGATGGGTTTTGAGCTCCAAATATTGATTAAGTGATATGGTGCTTTGAAATTGATGGTTGATTATTTTGTAGAAGTGTACAATAATTATTTGCTGGTGGGTTGTTGTTAAGCTTTTTGAGGTACAAGGCAACTCTTAGTTAACCCCAAGGGGGATTGTATATGATGAGACGATTTATTATTGGTATAAAGAGGTCACTTCGAGCCTTAGATTTATAATCCAATAGCATTCGAAAAATTTTAGATTTTGTGTCTAACCAATGACATATTTTCAATTACCCAATTTTAAATCTAATGGTCAATGAGAGAATTGAGTGACCTCTTTGTATAAAAAAGTCCATTGTGTACTTTTCTATATACAATATTGGATTCTTTTATTTCATACAAGTGAGTGACATATTATCCTCTTGATTTTGGTAGGAAATAAAAATGTCTTCCGCACTATTTCATTTCCCAAAAGATATTATATGAAATAAGGTGTCCATTTACACCCTCGGGTGAAAACATACGTGGGCTTAAAATTGGGGGACGTAGCCTCTTCAACTCATATATTGACCTCAATAAAAAAAAAAATTCTAATTGCATCATCTATGCATTTCAAAAAATAGTCTCAATATTGATTTAGAGAAACCAATTTTAAGTAGGGGAGGTTTAAGTGTTCGAAAATTCAAAATTTAATTTTTTTTTCTTCTGTAATGATCATCAAGTGATTCTTAAGTGGTTATCAAAATTATAGGTTTAAAATAAAATCGTGGTCTTCTCACTAAAGGAGTAGATGCACACCACTCCCTTTGGAGCTTGGCATCCGTGCTTCTCTCATTTTGTTGTTAAGAGATGCACGGGCTCCACGTCGGCAACTCTCCTTAAAGGCACGTTTGATATGTGCAATTTATGGGAGTAAAAAGGAGTTTCCCATTTATTATGGAAGACTGCCCTTCTAATTTTTTTTTGGAAGGGCGGCTTTCCAAAGTTAAGTTTATTTTAACCTTAAAAAAGAAGCATGTGGAAGGGTGTGGAATGCCGCCTTTCCAAAATTTCCCTGCTATCAAATGTGGAAGTGGGATGTTTCACTCTCACTTTCAATATCTCCCTGTTATCAAATACGCCTTTAAGAGAGAGAGATGCAACTCTCGGGAAAATTTGAAGAATTTGCAAGCTTTACTGTAATAAAAGTACTAGTGCATCTAACATTCTAAGAAAGAAATTAGGGAAATCTTTACCGACGCAGCCAAAACAGATTCCTTATCATCTATTCTGGAAAGTAACGGTCGATACGAGTGTTTAGAGAACCCTACTGTTGTACATTTCTTGAATGTTTTGTCTAGGTTTAAAATCCTGAATAAGCGGGAGGATCGGCCATGGGCTAGACTGATCTGGATTGGTTTTTGACTTATTATAGCTCCAAAATTTTGTAGAAAACCTTACAAAAAACGGATTATGTTGGTTTGTAAAAAAATTGGACTGCTATTTTTCATATGTCGATATTAATGAAGAAATATATTATGAGGGTTTGCTTTCTGCCCGAGTTGCACATTCATTTTACAGTCTAAAATGTAAATATGACAATAATGACATATAGGATCAAGCAAGTAGAAAAAATATATATGGGGCAAAATACAACCTAGAACCAAATTGAGTAATCAATGAGATAACTCATATTGCAGTACTACTAGGGGTGGCAATGGGTCGGAGCTGGCTGGACCCGGACCTAGACCCGACTAGTATTTGAGTCCAGGTTTTGGACCTGGACCTGATCCGTCGGGTCCAAAAGTTGGACCCATACCCGTACCCGTTGGATCCTAGGTCTAGTCGGGTCTATTGCCACCATCACTATGAGCTTCTTTCTTTCTTTTTTACCCATTTTCCTTTCCATAATATACCCATATTTTTGGCAACAAGGTCACAATCACCAACCATTAGATTTAAAGTCGTTTGATTTATCGTTTAATAACTAAAGATGACTACGAGTTCTTATTTTATATGACTCTTAATTCACCCAAACGAATAGGACTTGAAATATTTTATCTCCAACAGTTTGTAGGTCAGGTCCAACCAGACCCAGACTCAGACCCGAATAGCGTTCGGGTCCAAGTTTTGGATTAAGACTTGGACCCGATCTGCCGGGTCCAAATGTTGGACTCATACCCAAACCGGACACAGGTATACCCGACGGGTCTAAAGACAGGTCTGGATCCATTGCCACCCCTAAGTACCACTAAGTTAACTGTAGGAGCAAGTCTGTCGACTTGAGATCTTGGGAAATAGGCCGTACTGTACCCTCCCATTGGCCAATGAATTGATTTGGCATGGTAAATCCTCCTCCTGACTTGAAGTCCCCATGGCTAGTCCAATTCTTGTGGTCGTCCCTGCCCTACCACTGTTAGGCAGAGGCTTAGGCTACCTTGTGTGAGCACCTACCTCTGGTAGGAACTGGTTCCCTCTGAATAATCATTAGCCCCGATTCCCCTCTACAGGTGCTCGTACATCTCCATATTCTGGCAGCGCCTCATATCATAGCCTCCTCCTGGGTTCGTCACTTCCTCGTCCGTCTTGGTCTTCCATTTCTTCATGACCTATGGCCCTTGGAAATGTCTTATTATCAAGCATTAGTTCCTCTTTCACCACCAACTTCTTAGTCGGATCCTTAATAAATATGTAATCAAGGTAGACATTAACTTTTCTTAAATCCATTGTGAAGTCGACATGTTCCTCTTAAGGGCATGAATGTGCTCCAGTTTTGCTCATACCTCATAGCAAAACAAGTTTGGCTGAGCACCTTTGCATCAGTATCATTTAACTCTGACACAATTGAAGAAAATGACGAGCAACTTATAAGCAAGGACTTGATAACTAATATGGAATTCTCACTGACATGGTTCAGCGGACTACGCTTCACAAATGCAATAAGCTAACCAAATTTCTTCAAAAAAAACTAACTCTAACCTACAATTGTTAATTACATACACCATGTCAATCATAAAAGGAAATAAATATACATGTTTAAATTTTGTAATATATAAAGATAATTTGCCTACAGCATGAATCACTTGAACCAACTGCCTCCTCCATTGATCCTCGATGATCTCTACTACTTTCTGTGCATATAAGCAAGGCTCTTGCAAAGTGGCCTTCACTCTGAGGTACCCCATGACAAATTTCTTGTCACCATATACTGTCCTCAACATCTTGGCTAGATGAGATGTGGTCGAGCACCTTCCCTAGGAACTCCTATTAGCATGCATGCCTTCTACTTTCTATGCAACACGAATCCCTGAGACAAGGGTATTGATCTACCACTCTGAGATAACCATTCTCACGCCATGGACAAGTATCAAGTTGCAAAGCATGTGTTGCAGGGCCGAAACAGCTTCCTCTCATCATTGTGCTTCCTCATCATGTAGAACATACTGTGGTAGTTGTATACAATCTTTGTGACCACCTTCACCGCATCCACAATTTTCTTCAACTTGAGATTGGCATTGTCCTCCAATATCAGGTCAATGCAATGGGCTGGACATGGGCTCCATCTTCTTCTTATCAACTTCTTGGCATTGAAGATAACTTGAACTACATGCTCTTCTCCAATTGCATCCATCACTCGTACCATAAAACCAACCATTACAGTGGAATCATCAACTGTTCCTGAGATATCTAAACTAGAGCGACAAATTGTCTCATGCGGGCAATACACTAGAAAATTAAGATAATCTTTCCTATTAGTCTTATCCGTCCAACTATCAGACATGATTGACATCCTCATTCTCAACCTCGGCTGCTTAAAACTCATCAGCGAACTCTCCCTCCTTTGTCACCGCTTCATCTAAGAAGGAGCCATGGAGTTCATATGTACTAGGGTCTTGACTCAGGCCCTACCACTACAACGGATGTGACTTAAATGTGGGTTGCTGGCTACAATGATGGGGACCCCAAAAATGAGAAATTCTCTGAGACATTGCCTTCTTCACCTGTCCCTTGCGGTTATCGTCAAGCTGGACATAGCTTCCCTCAGGATTAGAATCGTATGCTTCGATTAGAAAGCTCAAATCAAAGAGGCCTACCAGGTGCTCCTGGGCCAATTTCTATGGGTGTTCTACTCCTTGACAAACTAGGAAAGCATCCCATAAACTCCTCTCCCGAGTGACACAAGGGAGGATCCCCCTCTTCCTACTACTGCTGAACTGTACCCTTCAATCTCTATCAATGCCACCCTCGGGTGGCACAAATCCTTCAATCTTGCTCTCATTGCGAGCTCCATATCTAAATGTCAGTAATCTCTTCTATCCTTGGCAATATTTTTGTCCTTTTTGGCCTTAGGAAAGCCAACATATGTTGTCACACATTTTTAGGCATCTTATCACATTGTGAAAATCACCCCCAAGTCCTGCTAGGTGATGCTTAAATGATTCACCCCCACTACTAATTGTCTTATTACAGTGTTAATAATTATAAATGTAATAAAGATCTACATATAGCAACTCAATCACACACCCAAATCAGTGTGAAATTCTGATATGTAACTCACCTAAATTTGTCTTAAAATTTCAAAAAAAAGGATTATTATTAGGTAATTCAGGGATATTAATAAAAGAATTTCTGAAAGGAAAAAGTTTATGGAAGTGCGAGGCTCTAAACAATCAAATCAGGACGCATCTCAAAAATTTCACCAGAAGTTGTTTTGATGCCCAAATATCATCAAATTGATCATCTCGACCTCAAGATGCATGAACATGAGAAAAAAATGAATTTCAAGTTTGGAAATAGTGCATCTTGTAACGCATTTTTGGACCTTCAATTTTCAAGATTTTCAAGTTATCATAGATTTGCTCGATCTACACTATTTTTGAAGCTTTAAATTTTACAATTAGAGATGAAAAGATATTTTAAGGCTATCACAAAAATTTCCAGTATTGAAACCACATTTCTCGACATTATCTGAACGTACACTTTACCATGATTGTTTAGAGCCTCAGCCTTATACAAACTGCACCCTTTCTAAAATCATGCCCAATACTCTTTAGGCCAAAAAAACAAAAATCTGACCAAAACATTTGAAATATGCAAAAAATGTTTGAAATTAGAAAATACCTATTGTGAATTTAAGCTAACGCCTTCTAGAGGCAAATTTCAAAAGAAATCGTGGACTAAGTCTTACAAAACTGCAGATGAAACTTTCCACCATTTCAATCATCAATTTTGTTTATCAATCAAATACATGGTCATATGGATCTAAAAGAGGACCAGCACTGAAGATTTTGACAAAACGATCACAAAAAACAGATGAAGAAACGAAAAATGACAAATTGCAGATTTAGGGCTTTTTTTGAAAAAACAAAAGATGAAAATAAGTTCCATGCTAAATCACCAACATAGATCAGCAATCCAACTCCTGAATCTACGAAGAAATCAGTCCAAGTCCTTACCAAAACACATATGAGTCGACAATTCCCAATTCTCATGAGAGATTTTTCTGAACACTCATTTTGTCATAATTTAGAGGAGAGCATGTACAACATTTCCAAATAGAAGCAAAATGCATGTTTTCTCAATCTAAATTTATAGGATCTACTTTGTAATTTGAGATTATATACTATAAGACCATTCAGATGGTCAAAACCATTCTTACCCATTGGACGTGAAATGTGATGGATTGAAGGATATCATAACATCCAAAGAAATTTATTTTGGAGTTTCCAGTCAATAATATATCTGCAACCTCCCAATTTTATATCAACAGTCAATAATGACCGTAATCATCCTATACCAAAAGTACACAGGTCTCATTGTAAACATGTCCTTGTAATTTTTCTTAAATATACACTCAATGCTATCTGTCAAAATTTTAGTCAAGCACATAGTGTGTATGTCAATGTTGGTTACTAGGCTAAGGAGGTTACATCCTAAAGAGTATTGCTATATAGGGTTTTACCCAGGGAATATGCATAGTAGGCTTCTGTGGAAGCATCTAAACTTTTGGCTTTAGAGAAAAACCATTAGTTCTTTAGAGAAAAAAATCATTCAACACATACAATAGCCTCTAGAATGGCAATCCAAATGCCCAGCTACCCAAATAATAATAGTAAAAGTGGTCACCAAAAATAATCATCTATTCATCTAACAGTATCAAAATGCAGATCATCATTTGAATGAATGCTGTATAGCCTTCATGTCGGTTCCATTTCACCATGAAATGGAAGTGAACCATAAAATAAATAGACAAAAAATTAGTGTCAAGCAAACAATGGCATCAAATCAGAGTTATTGAGTAGCTTATTTTCTCTCTACAAGGAACTACGGAGATACTCTGTTATCTGCCATGACCCACCGACACACTAAAACATGCAAGACCGCAAATGTGCACTTCAACAACATTATGCACTGCAATTATTACCAATCCAAAATCGTTTCGCCGGAAATTTAAAACAACAAAAATGGGGACAATGAAAATATTTAAAAGGCAGTTTAATTCACAACATCGACGACCAGCTTGCGAGACTTGAACAAAGACCACTTCAGGCGTTTGTAATAGGTAGCTTGAAGAAGAGCCAGAGAGAAAACAAATATCCATTTGAAGCCCATCTGCATATGAGGCAAATATAATAAAGCCCAACATTATATTTTGCATTGGCCTCTAAGTCATTAAATGCAAGTGTGTTGAATGAAATCCCATGAAGTATCGAAGAAAACATGGAAAACACGACCAAAGAGGTTGGCTAAACCACCATAAGCTCAAAACGTTTATAAGAAATATTACAGACCCAATATAGAAGAAAAGATTAACAGACACAATAACAAGTGCATAAAACAATCAAGCAACCCTCAATAGAACACTACGCTCCCTCTCTCCCCACAGAGGGGAGAAGACCACATAAGTAGCAGCAGAAATCGTTACTCCCCAATCATTTATTAAGATGGAAACAAAATATGAAATATGAGAGACATTGGATTCGGATCCAAAAACATAAACTGGGGAGAGAAACGCAGGTTCGAACAACCGATTCAAGTATATATATGTCAAAGTTTCTTTCACTCTGGAATTAATATCACAGAATATGAGCAGAAATGCTTCAAAAGTCAATTATATAGATAAAGATTTCATATGAAAACTTCAAGAGAAAAATGAAAATGCTTTAGTAAAGAAACGTCTCTTTTTTTTCCTGTTTATTGATTGGCAACACGATTACTCGATGTTAAAATTTTGAGAAAAATTAAGAATTCTTTTGAGAAAGATGCATCTTACCAAGCAATAAAAAACAGATATTAGATGAAAGTGGAGATCATTACCAGCTTTCTCTCTTCCATCTCAGGTTCAGCTGCCCAAGAGAGAAACGAGACAACATCTTTCCCCATCTAAAAGAATGACAATTAGAAGAATAAGGAAATTGGTGAAAAATCACTCAGTGCAAGCTTCAAAACTTTCCCCCCATAAAAAGAAAATGAAAAACACAAAATGCAGATTTGAGAACTATACCTGAGCCTCCGTGGCCGGTGTGCCATCTTCATACTCCATTGCACCATCGATAAGCATTTTTGGCATGGCTATGGCACCTCCAGGAAAATAGGGATTGTAATGAAGCCCATCTCGAATCTGTAATTAAAAATTCAACATTTTCTCAAGAAGTCCCATTTGAAAATCAGGTGTTATTTATAAATTATAACACATGCTAGAGAAGTTCTAGTTTAGTAGAAAACCAGTCCTATATCCCCAAAAAAATGAATAAAATGGCATTATGAATCCAAAATTACAAGGATCAACACAAGCTCCCAAAATTAAGATCCTCTATTTGTTAATCAGCAATGGCAAGACCACGACCCATTCTATCTACATAGTTACTCCATGGATCTAGGATCATTTTTTCGGATTTTTCAAAGTTTCCACTTCAATCCTAGACCATTATTTCATAGTCGAGTCAAAAAATACATCCTGAGCATTTGATAAAAAATACAGTAACATTTAAAAGCAGTAGAACTTCCACAAATTTTTGGTTGAATTTGAGATTGTAATATAAAAAATTAACAGGAAAAAAGCATCGAGTTAAAACATTCCAGAATGACCAGCCACACACGAAAGATACATAGTCAGGGATCTAGTCATTTCTGGAAACGAAAATACAAGGGATTACATTGTCAATGTGGAAAACAGGAACTAGCTATGTTTTCCCTTAAAGAATTCCAGCCAGTGAGCCATAATATTACCGAAACGCCAGCAGGGGGGTCACGATACCCAGTGAGAAGCGCAAAAACGTAATTCTGACCATTGTGCCGTGCCTGAAAATAACAAATGACAAGGAATGCAAAGAATGAAACTTTAAGTTCCAAAATGAAATCCAGATTGCATCCAATAACAATTACCCAATAATCAAAAAATGGAAGTAGGAAAAAACAGAGAATTATGTTTTTCCCTGTGAAGTGGTCATCAATGTGAATAACAATCAAGGAAAATGGCCAAAAAGGAAGAACAGATGTTCTCCTTTTAATGATTAACAACCAAAATTTCATTTAAAAGAAAATTAAAAAAAAAAAAGGCAAAAAATGCCCTCTTTTTTTTTCTTTGAAACTGTTTAAAAAAACACTGCTCTCTCGAGTGGTCTTCAACATAAGAGACATACTTTAGTGATGAGGCTCAAATCAGGGGGGTATGCCCCTCCATTGGCGAACCTCGCAGCCTGTTCATTTTCATAGGGCTGAGGGAAACGATCACTCAACTTTCCTGGCCTGGTAAACATTTCACCTTCGTCATTAGGGCCATCAACCACCTCAATCTCAGCTGCCATGGCTTTTGTCTCCTCCTCAGTATATGCAACACCCACTAGATCACGGTACGAAATCAAAGACATTGAATGGCAAGATGCACAAACTTGTTGATATACTTGATGTCCACGCCTAATCCTGCACAATGATGAATTCATTCCGAGAAGTGCACCATTAGAACTTACCAAACTACCCACTTTTAACACCATAATATATTTGAAAAAATGTACATTTTCACTTTCAGGTAAACAACAGTGTTATAAATACTGTATATCTCTTACACTAAAAAGAACTTTATCTCCCTCCCTGCTTCCCTCCCTCTTAGATATGACAGGAAGATTCAGTTTAGATATGATAAATACCGCATACCATACGCCCTCAAAAAATAATATACTTTCCCATAATCAAAAGATAAAGACCAAAAAAAGTAGAAGACAAATGTAACCCTCAAATTCCTTGATCAGAGAACATAAACTCACCCTTTCCAAAATTGGACAAGAAGATTCAGTTTAGAAGAGGCATAAATACTGATATTAAATCTTTAAAAAAATCATACTGCACAAAATCAACATTTGTATTTATTTTAGGGATGTACTCGATGTTTTCTAAATAAGATTACTTCTTGTAGTTCATGAAAATATTGGGAACATATAACGAGGATATCATGGTTATTACAAGCACACAAAAAGCAACTTTTGCCACAAATTTTAAAGAAAAATGAGCTATAACAAAATACCTCTTCAATATGCTACCTATTCTCAGAAACTAACAAGAATAATCCCCCAAAAAAAAAAAAAAGATTATATCAGCATATTCTAGGAAAGCAGAAATGGTCCCATTTTCCAAAGTAAATTTCTAAGGAACTATGGGGAACATCAAAGAACCCAAAATGCTTCTTATTTCCTTTCTTATATATTTTGAGGGAAAGGTACTTCTTATTTCATATACGGGACAATCACTCTTCTTCTTTTTGTTTCTTCCCTGATAAAGAGGCATGAATCCAACCACAACCAGCCCTTCATTAGTTCTCTTCTTTTCCTGTTCTTCCTTTCTGAAGAAGATTTCCCATTTTCTTCCTCTATCTGCCTCCTCAATTTTTATTTTTATTTTTTGTTTGTATTTTTGGAGAGGTGGGAGGGGGAGCTAAAACGACACCATAGGGTTTGCAATCCCTGAATAAATTTGCAGGTGATCCAAAATCTTTGAAATTTCACAATTATGCTTGGATGCTCATTTACTAAACCACCCTAGACTGGTATTCAAAATATGGGATCAAAATAAAATAAAATAGCCCATAAAATAAAATATAATAGCCAATAAATACAAACAAAAATAAAAATAAAAATTGAGGAGCATCTACATGAGTTATGCAGGCATTCCCACACTGTATCTACATGATTTATGCAGGCATTCCCACACTGTTTTGCTATCTTCCCTTTCACTGTTCTGAAAAAGCTCCCATCACTTCTTAAGATGGAGGTCAATATTTTCACTTGTGATCAAATGTCACTAATCACGCATATGATAAAATAAAAGATATTCACACGTCCCCTGAAACACTATTTAAGAACCATCTTTCCTCACTTACGATGCATGGTCATAGGAGCTAAGAATCCCACTGTGAGGCCATGGATAGCTAGGACATGCTAAGCCATGCTCGGCCTCATCAGCAGATGCAACAGTTGCAAAACCCAGTAGACCAGAAACACCAGCTCCAAGAAGTGCCAACATCCTGAGGGACTTCATGCCAGCTCCATCTTGATCCTGTTTGCCCAGTAAAGAAAACATTACCGGAGGGGCCTGCATAGAAACAGAAACCAATGTAAGAGATACACTCTCCCTGGCAAAAATATTGCAAATGTCTTATTTTATCTATCAGAAATTTATGAAGATCACTGATCTCATATGTATCAACCACATGCCACTTCCACAATAATAAAATCCAGATTCTCCCTTTTCCAAATCCTTCAAAAAGAAGATCTTTTTTTTTACTGGTAACATTTGGATGATCCTCAATTGACAGTTTTGTGACCACAAAAGGTGTTCAAGACAACTTTTATGATTGCATTGGGACATTTAGTGCCACTGAAAGTCTACTAGCATAGAAAGATTCATAGGGTAAGAACAAAGCAGCAGTAAGAAATGAATCAACAAAGTACTAATGTCCCTAACAAGTCTCGGCAAAAAATAAATATCTATAAAAGACACATCTGGAAATGACCGACAGAAAAGAGAGAAGGAACTAACAAAATGCAAAATAACACAGGAAAATTCAAGAACCAGCCTCAAACAGCACACACCAAAATCAAGGGAATAATAAAAAACAAGAACTGGAGATAAACAACAAAGAGACAAGACACACCAGCACAAAGAATGTATATGGTGAGCACATCCAAAAGAGAAAACTCAGCACATTTTAATCACATCAAAAGGAAAAAGTCAACTATATCACCACCAAAACAGGAGAAAGTAAATCATATCACCACTCAATACTGACAGATAGATTATTTAACATGGCAATTCTGTAATTCTATTAGCAAAGTATCTAATTCCAAGAGCATGTCCATGTAATGGATGGAAATGTGCAAAGTAGGCTCAGATCTCATCAGTTAGAATTATGTGTTACATTGCTCTCAATGATTACAGGAAATATTTATAGTTCTCCCTCGTGAAGGAAAGTCCAATATGTTTGGAAAATTCAACAAACCTTACATTCTTCATAGGAAATCAAACATCCTCAAAAGACAGAGAGTTTGGGTGGGGTGCATGGAGTGAGAGATTTGTCTATAGGGGAACTTACTACAGACTACAGAAAAATGGAGAGGCCTTGATAGGAATGAGCACATCTTAAAGGAGTTTACATCAGTGGTGCGGATCAAGGAGTTCCTCACACTTATTAGTGGGAGTATGTGCAGACTGACATATTTGACAAATTTGACTCAGCTTTGGTACTAGAAAAGCAGGTCCTCCTAAGATGACACATATGTAGACCCCTAATGTTTGACACCAAGCAAATTTGTAGTGTTCATGTTCATGACGGATCAAAAAATACTAGTGATGAAGGTTGATTAAGTTTATCTTCCTGCAGTACGCAGTAAAGTGGGGATAGAGGTGATGATCACATACTAAAATATTTCGGACTCCAGATATGTGATTAAGTGAGATCCAATAGGAATTCTTTAAAGCAAGTGGACCTCTTGACAACAGTAAATAGAGAGATCAGAAGCTAGCAAAGGGGAGGAGCTCACTTAGATTGAGTCAATGCAAACACTTGAGTTTCTTTAGTGTCCATAGTTCATCTGAGAAGTTCACAAGTGTGACTATAATGAACTTACCATGAACGAGCTTTTCAAAAAATGAAGGATGATAAGAATCCCAGAGGCAGCATTTGATATTGTGGAAGCGCTTTCTGCACTACATGTTTTCCCTAGTCTAATGCAGAGGAAAATATGCAGGGCCCCACCAAGGAGGAGCCCGACTTCCACCCTGGAGTGTAGTTTCCGTGATAACTGCAGAAAGCCAAAACGTCAAGGGGATGCCCCACTCTCTCTCTCTCTCTGGATTTTCCTTTTTTACAGATTTAGTGTCTGTTGATATCAGAGCATACATATGCCTGGGATCTGATGTTTAGGGAAACAAACAGTCAAACACTGACCTTTAGGGTGTTTGTTTTGGGAAAAGTTCATATAAGTGAGAGGCTCTAAACAATCAAATTAGGGCACACCTCAAAAATTTCACTAGAAGAGGTTATTTTGATGCCCAAATATCCTCAAATTGATCATCTCGACCTCAAGATACATGGACATTAGAAAAAAATGGATTTCAAGTTTTAAAAAAATCATGCATCTTGTAATGCATTTTTGGACCGTCAATTTTCATAATTTTCAAGTTTTCATAGATCTGCTAGATCTACACTATTTTTGAAGCTTTAAATTTTATAATTAAGATGAAAATATATTTTAAGGCTATCACAAAGATTTCCAGTATTGAAACCATATTTCTCGATGCTATTTCAAGGTGCCCTTTACTTTGATTGTTTAGAGCTTCGGCTTTACACAAACCGCACCCTTTTGTTTTTGTCATATATATTAATCAACATTGTCAAAACCGGTGAGGGCACCGGTCTAGTTGAACTTGCGAACCAGACTAGTTCACCGGTCACACCAATTTAATAAATTCATAAAAATCTGGAAAAATAAGGAAAAAAGGTAAAACAAAGAAAATTATGGAACATGCAACCAGTTTTCGGTGCGCCCTTTACATTATTGATAGTAATACATTTGTACCCATTAATATATACTTGACATTTGTGTCTATGTGTATAGATTACATGTCCCTATTTCATTATAATACGATAGAACTACTCTTTCAAATAACCATATTTGTAGCATTTGTATCAATGTTATCAAGATCGGACAGACCACCAAATTGGAAAAGAATTTGGTCTAGTCAAAGCCGGTTCAGCCATTGGTCGAATCGGTTGGACTGTATCTTAGAAAAAGTGCAAGAAATATATGTATAATAGTTTAAAAATATAAAATATATTAAAAATTTGGGGAAACATCCTCGTAACCTTATTTTTGGTTTTCATATCTCAATAGCCACAAAGATTAAAAATATATCTCTTAACCCCTAGACTAACTTTACCCACTTTTAACTATTTTTTTTAGCCCTAACAACTATGAAAAGGACATGCTCATTCTAAACCCTTCCTCTCTTTACATGATATATTCCCTCCAAATTTCTCTCTCTAATTTTCACCCTCTTTCTCTCTCTCTAACCAGGGAGAGAGAGTGAGAGACACGGGGGGAGAGAGAGTGGAAAAATAGGTAGAGAGAGATTTAAGGGAAAATCACGTGAAGAGAGAGAAAGGACGGTGTTTAGAAAGGATGTCTTTCTTATATCTGTTTGGGGCAAAAAAATAGGCTTAAAAGGGATAAAATTATACCTTAGGGAGTTAAAAGACATAAAACTTAGAATTTTTATGACCCAAGATATGTTTCGAAACCTTGGGTCTATTGAGATATAAAACTTAAAAATAGGGGGTATGGAGATATTTCCCTAAAAAAAATTGCACCACTTCATTTAGCTGATCAAACTGGTTAAAGCCAGCATGTCCAACCGACCAAAAAGGGTTCAAACATCGGTTTTGACCAGTTTTCAACCAAACCTATTCAAAATCCAATTTCTACCTTGGACCAAATCGGCTAAGGCACTGCTCGGTCTCACCAGTTGGACCACTGGTTCGATCTGGTCTTGACAACTATGATTTGTATGATCCCAAATTTTACAAGTATTCTCTTCATCTCAACAAGCAATTCCATAAAGAAAAATAATAGAACATTCACCCTAATAAAGGTCAAACTAAACCCTCTCCATTAATAAAGCCAACTGTCCATTTGGCAGTCACGAAGATTTAGGCTTTAGGAGGTTAGAACCAGTGTTTTTTTTTGGGGGCCTTGGGAGGAATTTTTTTTATACCCTAAAAAATTAGATGGTCCTATCATCACTAGATGAATAATAATTGGCATTCTTAATGCCCTAGATCTAAACGTCGACCAAATGGATAGTATGCACCCCTTGTTGAGGGCGAACTCATTTGGACCTTCTCTAGGATGTATTTTCAATTTCTTTTTCTTTTCGATATTTATCGTCTAGAAGAAAAGAGTTTCAAAATTCAAAATCATCAAAATACCCTTAACATGGTGATTTTCAACTAGTGGTTCCACTATATTAGTGTAAAAAAGTTGGATACATATATATATATATATATATATATATATATATATATATATATATACTA